TGGAAATCAGCCTTTGAGTTGTTTATAAAACTGTCAGCAAAATAGGCATGGTATGTGGTGTGGCAATTCTTTCAATAGTTTGTTGTATTTCCATCTGTCTGTGTAGTCTGTTATAAAGTCTCTTAAAAATTATGTTTCTATTCCTGCTGTGCCCACCTGAATCCACAGTTCTGCACCAAAAAAAAAAAAAAATAGGAAATTTGAAAGAACGTGTTTTCACATTTGAAGATGTATTTCTGTACAGTTGGGTCACATAGAGGCAAATAATGTTAATATTCCTGGGAGTTTAATGGTTTCCATTGTATAGGAAACACAGACATCTTAATGCCTGTTAAATGATAGTAAGCTATTTGAAAATAAATAACTCCAGTTTTTAAGCAGCAGTGTACCATCAGCAAGGGAAGATGATAAAGTCTAGTCAGGTTGTACTCAAGGGGTGATGTACATAATCTGTCAAATCTGAGTCTCTGTGTTTCTATATAAATATGATAGGTCTACTTATTCTAGTGTTTGGTGATCCTTTGAACAGGCTGAGTTGTCTTTTTGATCAATAATTTTTTTGCTGTTCAGGGTAAAATGCAAGCTGAAATTGGAGGAGACTGTGATTTGAGTGCAGTGTCAGCATCTTATCAGGATATGCTCTTGGGTAGGGCAAAAATTGAGTGCACATAAGTTAAGGCCTAAACTACTGAAAAATTGCAGCCTGCACATTATTTGTAAAGAATACCAAAACACTTCTTTAAATTCCTCAGTTTATGTCAGTGTCAAGCATGCTCATTTTGGGCATGACTTACATTGCAACACATGGTCTTGATGTGGAGTTCAGGACCAGCAATTTGGTTATGACAAAATACCACCACATAAAAGTTTCTATAGGCAGGTTAAGATAGGTTTTACAATGAAAAATTATTAATATACTGCTGAAAATAGCAACTGTGCTAATCATTTAGCTGTCACATGGATTATTAAATTTTGTCATTTAATAATAATGAACAAGCTTTAAAGTAAAACCCTTAAATTAAAAGTAAAACCCTCAATCTAAATATATACCATTGTCTTGACAAGTTTGAAACAGAAATTGAAAGGCTTTCTTAAGAAAGCTTTTACTTAGAAATCAAAGCAAGAAACGATTTTCACTTTTTGCAGGATGATAACTGAAGGAGTAATGCCACATCAGACCTCACCTCTGGCACTGCCTCATGCTTGAGCTCCAGTGGGTAAGGCTTGGGTAATACAGTTGTTTCCAAGGAGCAGAGTATTAAAAGTTTCCCTTGCCCAGTAATGATGTGGGGGAGATTAAGGCAGGTGGAGGTCACTGCAGAGAGAAACAAAGCTAGTTTTTTTTAATTTACAGGTGGTTTATAGCTACTGTTTCTGTGACTGAACTTCCAAGTGATATTGGTTGCCTGAGGCCAGGTTGTAAAGGACTCTGTTGAAAGTAAGCTGAAGGTTGCTAATGGCTTAAGGGTGAAAATTCAAAGTGAATTGCATAGAAAACCAGCCTATTATCAAGTGGCTTGTATGAGTGATAATTCATCCAGTGCATGAAAAAGACAGAAGTTTTACCAGCAGTTGATACTGGGGGCAATAAGTCAGCAAATTTGGAGGTCTAATGACAAGAAAAGCTGAACCATTAGGGAATAATGTAATCATGGAATCTGAGAACAGCAAAGGATGGAGAAATGTAAAGTACTGGAAGTAAGTTGAAATAAAATGGTGTTGAATTCTTACCTTCTATCTGTCTGTGACACAGGCCTAGACATGTTGGACTAGATCTTCCACAGAATTTTCGCTGTGACATGCTGGACTTGAAGGACCACCACAGTACTCAAATGGATGAAAGAATATGGAGAATCTATGAAAAAAAGTTACTGATAAAATATGACAGAACTGTTAACTGTTTGGAAAGATATATTGGAAATGGTCTGTGTTATCTGTAAACTGTGAGTGCTGGTGAAGCAGAGCTTGAGATCAGAGGCATCCTGGTCATTAATTAATGTGTTTGTCAGGAAGTGATGAACTTGATCATTCAAATGACTGTGGCCCTCAGCACTCCTCACATCAATGGCTGCTTGTGTAGGTGGTTGGATTTCCAGCAAAAGACACCATACACTTCCAGACAGGGCAGGTGTCTCTAGCGGAAATGGCTCCCATAGGCATGGATGAAATTAAAATAGAAAAACTGTATGTGGAGTAGGAGAAAGCTACTGGAGAAAACCCACCAAGGAAAACTCTTGGCTTTCTCTCATGATCACCTGCTTCTAAAGCAGAAAAAATTCTTTATATGCAATCACTCTCAAGGGAAAGTTTAGAAAGAAGGCAGTATTTCCTAGCATTTGTTGAAACCTGGAGAAGAGAGTTGGCCTAAGCGTTGGATTTGGTCTTCTGCTTTTCCTGGCCATTGGCTGAGGAGCCTAAGCTGTTTCTGCAACCTGAGCATTTGCTCTGTGACTTGTCTTTCCTCACCTCCATATGCGTGCATGAGGCTGACTTAATTGTGACATATTGACATATGAAATGTGTTTGAACTGAATGTAGATAAATTTGATATATAAAAATAGATTATCTGGTATCACAGTACAAGTATTCTGCTATTTGTGGTTTCTACTTTCTTTTACAGCTGCAGTCTGAGCCTGCAACCTTCTGTCGTCACTACTTAGGTCTGTAAAGGAAACACAGCAATGTATGGCACAATATATTTGCTGAAACTGAGTAAAATCATACAGTTTCTTAAAGAGAAGACAAAAATAACTTTTTCTCTTTGAAACAGTTGTGCACTTAGTCCATTAATAATGAATGGATAATTAAAATTAAATAATTTTACCAATAATTAAAACCATCCTGATGAAAACTGAGTTCAGTCTGGCACTGGAGAGTAGGAAATGAGAGAAGCTGTCCCTCTCCCATGCTCTCAGCGCTTTCTACACTAAGGGTTGTAGAGGGTAAGGAGGCAACTGCTGGTGCTGCCTGGTACTTGTGCACATCTGCACCCCTGCCATGCACAGTGGGTGGAGCTGCCCCTGCCCCACACACAACCATCCTCCGCACCGGATGAGGTGGAAATCCTGGGAGGGAGGGAGGAAGGGAGGTGTGGTCATGAAAGGAAAGACCATGTGGCAGTGGAAGGGATGGAATTCAAGTCTTATATAAACCTTTGTTTGGCATTACATAATTTCTAGGGGCTGGATATTGGAACTTGGCTATTTTCAGCCTTTTTTGTTACTTCAGTGCATTACTTAAAAGTCAGTTTTAATGAAAATTGAAGGCAACTCAGCATTTCAGTTCTCAGAGATTCTCAGGCACTCAAAAAAAGGCTTATTCTAAATCTAAGAAGTTTTTTTTTAAAAATCATTATATCAGAATTCAATTTGTGTTGTTTATATGTCTTCTCCTAATTCTGTGTGATCACATGCTGACTGTTTTGTCTTTCAGGCAGATTTTCTTGGTAATGTGTCATCTGTTTGTGTGTGAAGAAGTGTAAAGTGTCTAATTCTTTCTACTGTTTACATTCATAGAGTAATAACTCTTGTTTTGTTCTTGAAGCAACTGCTAAAAGCCCCTCAGTGGAAGCACTAGAAACAATTAAATCATCAGTCCTAAATAGTTACACATTAATGATGTGATACACTTTACAGAATACAGCAAAATTACTTTGGCAAGTATGTCTTCCCTGTGAACTTGAAATTGCTTGCACCATTTTTATAACTGCCAAGGTTTGAAATCTACAGAGATCTATGGAGAGAGGAATATATTTTGATGCATAAATATATACACAAATACATTGGTTAATTTTTTTGGATGATGAAGAAGAGGAATAAGTTGGAAGAGTTGACAAGTACAGTTGACAAGAGTTGACAAGAATTTCAGTTTTTTGGCACTGTTACTGTCTGAGGACAATACAGTTTGGATATCTCCACTGTAAAGATCAGCAATAATTTACAAATATATTAAAATCCACTTTGCCAGCTCTAGAAGGCACCTGGATTTCTCCAAGCAAATGCATGTGGTGTGGAAGTACCTCTGCTCAAGGCAGGAGAAGCTGACGCTTTGTTGGGCCGTCTTTTGCTTGGCTGTTGGAGTTGGTTGGAGGGGTTGCCTGACAGAGGGGTCTGCCCTTGTGAAGCTGGGGAAGTGTAGCTGGTCAGGGCATGGATTTCACAGGAAAGTCTAGGTCCTGTGCTTTGTTTTGCTTGTTGAGAAGATGGAATGGCTTGATACTGAGGAGTTTTTGGGGTCTTCCCTGCAACCTCTGCAATAGTTTGCTTTATAAATACCAGGACATTGTATTCCAGAGTGTTAGTGTATTTGTTAAAACACCTATTTAATTGGGAAGTCTTTGCTTATGGCGAAGCAGCATACCTGAAAATCTGGGAAGTGCTGGCAGGCAAAGAGACAGCCTGGCATTGCTCCTGGGTGTGTTTTCTTGCTCACTATTGCTGGATGGCCTCCTCACAGAGATCCTGCTGCCGTCACTTGCTCCCCTTTGTCTTCTGCCAGATGAGTTGAAGCATAGCAAATTATTTTTCTGCTCCTGGAAAAACTCTCATTTACAAATACAGCTTTCAAAGAATCCAATATGTGGCTGTCAGAAATGCTTTAATTTTTTGGTCATGTTTAGTCAGGAAAAATTCTGACTTTTTTTTCTGGAATTTTAGCAGGAAGGCAGCTAGGATTTCTTTTGCATAGCTATGCAGCACAGATGTGTGTGCATTAAAGATATGCTGTTTATAATCTGGTTTCTGACATTCTGATACACATCTCTTTTTGATTTAACATAAAGAGGTTGATAGCTTTATCAAATGGACAAAAATTTTTTGTTTTCTTGAATAGTCTTCAACAACTTTGAAAAATTAATGGCAGTTTCAGAATTTATGAAGGCCAAAGAAATGGTATTCACTAATTCAAATAATTAATAGAAGTAAATGTCTGTGGTTGGTAGGTTGTTTCCCATTTTAGGAGAATTAGAAGAAAATTTAATAATTGCTTTCAATTTTTTCAGGCAGCCAACATCAAGCGTGAAATGACCTTCCATGCATTTCAACAGGAGGATGTAAAAAGTGACATCAGTCGAAAACTGCCAGACCAACAGTTTCTCCTGTTCACCACAAAGGAGGAAGATTTAAAAACAGCAGAGACCAAAAAACTAAACAGAGCTCATGAGTATGAAAAGGAAAACACTCGTTCTGTTTGTCTTCTGGAACAGAAGCGCAAGGTTGTTTCTTCAAATATTGATGTGCCTCCAGCAAGGTAAGGAGAGTTGGACTTTTTTGTTGTGATTTGTTTTAAGCTTTATTCCTTTTTCTTTCCTGCCATTTTTTCAAATGGGATATTAGATACAAGTTTGGTAAACAGCACTATGAACTGCTGAGACTAGTGTTTGTGCCCAGGCAGTCCAAAGTCAGTCACAACCCTCCTGTCTGAGAAATCTGCTAGGAAATTAAGAACACCAGTACCAGAAAATGAGAGCATCTGCAGAATAGGACTTTGTATTGCTTTTGCATTGTTTTTACTTTAGAATGTGCTGCAGCTGAGGTACTTGGAGAAGAGGATGTGTCTTAAGAGGAAAAGATTGTTGACTCAGCCTCACCCTGAGAAGTAATCTTCTAAATTAGACACAGAATCATCTTACTTGCTAGCAATTTATTTTTCAAATTTTTTTTACTGTCATACTTGCAGACACTTTATACTCATTGGGTATTCTGTGTTGGAAGATGACGAGTGCTTTTTCTTGTTCACGTTAGCATCAGTCTGTCTGTAAAGATTTCTGCTTAATCTGCCTAGTAAATTTACTTGCACATAATTCAGTAAAAGGTCTTTCAAGTTTATGATTCCACTTAAAAAACTGTAGTCAAAACAGATATTTAGTTTTTCAGTTTGTTTGCTTTCTGAAGACCAACATAACCAGCAGGTTCTACCACATCATCCAGAACAGGATAGCTGGATGTTTTTCTCTGGCTGTCTTAGATGTCATTTGCACTGAGTCCAGGAGCATTTTTACAGGATTTTCTCCCATATATATGTAGTAAAAAGCTATGTATTAAAGCTTTGAAAATGTTAGGATACTTACTAGAGATTTTTACTAGTAATCAACTTTGTAATGTCTGAGTGCCCTTCTCATTCATCTTGTGTGTCTCAAAGCAAATAGGATCACAAGAAAATGTAGGTCAGGAGGGACCTCAGGAAGTCACCTGGGCTAACCTTCTGCTCAAACCATATGTTAGCATTTCCATTTAACAACTCAGGCCGCTAAGGTACAGGGTTTAAGTGCATTTTTGTGTGACTTCATGCAGATAATCCACTTGAAGTAGTAGTCAAGCTCTCATTTTCTATAGCTATGAGATCATCTTTCCTTGGAGGGATGGATATTTTTTCCCCAATGAGCTGAAAAGGAGGATGAATTAACATCTTTAATATCTTCTTAAGGCTAATTGTGACACCAGTTGGGAGCACAGGATACTTAAGATGATAGGAGATAAGTTCACTTACAAAGGTGTCTTCTCAAGTTGTTCTTTCCATCTGCAGGTATTCTGTTGAGAGCATAAAAATTACTGTATTATGTTGTCTGTTTTCAGACATGCAGTTGAGTTCCTGCATTAGCAGAATTAAAGAATGAAGTAGCAAAGAAACCTGGAGTTTATGTTCAGTAGCATAATAAACATTGTCGTCATTCTTGCTACGTATTCCCAGTCCAGCTCAAGTTTTGCTTTGAAGCTGAGGTGAAATATGGGGCCATTTGTCCACCACTGATGGGAAGGACACTTAAACCTTTGCTCAGAGATCTTCCTAAATATTTGTTGTTGTAATGAAGGAGAGCACCCAGTCTATTCCTCAGCAGCAGCTGATCTCTAAGTTTGATCTCTAAGATCCAAACTTCTCCAAGAAGACTCCATACATTTAAACTTTCTTGCCTCTTTCTAAGTCACTCCCAGTCATCTGTCTAGGACTGTGCTGAGAGAATTGCATGTTCCCCAGAGGTGAATTCTTTGTTCCTTTGCCGGCAGGATTCGCTGGTTCAGCTGTTCTCTCTTCTGATGAGAAAATCCACCCACCTTTGCAGATTCGTTATACCCAATTGTGGAAGGTCATCTTGAATTAATCAGATAATGTTTACAATTACGTGGGACAAATAAGGGTTTAATATGGTCTTAATTTCTTATTGCTGCTTACATCCTCTTTACAAAAAACCCCCAACTTTTTATTCTGTAATAAGGATATATATATAGTAATAAGTGAAAATGAAGCTTGCTGTTTATTTTGTTTTAAAACATTAGTGGAACCCATTTAACTTCAGATGTTGAAATAAAGAAAACATTAAATTTTGCCATATCCAACTAAACCCATTACAATATTTAAGTGATTTTGAGACAGAAGTTTATCATAGCTTCAGATTAATTATCAGCAGGGGCATACAAGTATGTCCAAAAGAGCTCTGAAAATGTGTTTGCGAAAGATCTGTTAAGAGGTAGATAATAATTTTGGCCACAAAATGAAACAAAGACCATCCCTTCTTAGCTGTTTCTAAGGATATCAGTGAATAAGAAAGGAAATGTTTGTGAGGCACTGTATCTAAAATAACTAACAGTTCAGAAAAACACCAGCATAACGTTTCTTGGAGGCATTCAGCTTCAGGGCTTTCATTATTGCTCATAGAATCTGAAATTTTAGAAATGCAAAAATATCTTAACTGAGTCCTAGTGTTCTGTGTGACTGGTAGTCAGGTGCATGGAAATTATAGTAAAATAAATATTTTATTGGATGCAGAATTTTTAAGTTCACTGTTTGCTTTTTTATTTCATCTTGTGAAAATACTACAGATGTTTCTCTCTATGTTATGTCCTGTACTGGAAGTGTCTTTTGGATTGAGACAGAAGGAGATCACAACCTTTTCATCATGATTTTTATTTTTGGAGTGCAAGAAATGAAATGACAGTTAACAGCATTATTTTTTTCCCTTTTCAGATGTCTTTATTTGTTCATTTTGAACAAAATTTATCTGAGTAAATTGTGTTCCTTCTTCTGAAATGCAAATAAGCATAAATGAAACTGCTCAGCTTGAGCAAATGAATTATTTGATATAATGAGGAAACTTGAATTCTTTATTTTTCCTTTAAATATTGAATGTATTGTCAGTTTCGATGCATAAAGGTCTGCAGTCTTGGAAAAAGGGGTTTGGTTTTGAAGTGCAATTATCTCTGAAAATTGAGATGTTATCTGTAGATAAGAGAAAAATATACTTTTGGTTGATCTCCAGTTCAAACAGCAGCAATCAAACACAGCCAGATCCATGGATCTGAGCAGTGAAAGGCTATTTTGTAAAAAGAGTGCTATCACTGAGGGACTAATCACCTTGTCTGGTGGGCAGAAGCAAGCCCAGGTTTGCCTGAATTTCAGATAGATCTGTAGAGGTCAAATGTAATCAGAGATGATGTCTCCAGTAGGCAGAGGTATGGAAGTTAACAGGACCTTCTTGCTCATTCGTATTTTCTTCACTTACTTACTATCATGGACACATAGTTCCAAAGCATGTCAAGAAAGACATGAAAGAGCCTGGACGGCTGATATAGTGAGTGTGAGAATGTGAGGAGGGACCCAATTCAGGCCAGGTACACAGTGAATGGCTTCTACCTTTTGGAAGAATGAGGATAGAAGGGTGGGTGGTGGAGAGCAGGGGATGAAGTTTCCTTTTTTTAAGTAAAATGTGAGAATAAATGTCTGAAAATGGTGGTGGTGTTAAAGGTCTTTTAAGACTGAAGTGTTTTGACCAATGGTAGCTGGAAACCCTTCAGAACTTAAAAACCTTAGTGTCAGAGGAGGTCCCTTCAGGTGTTCCAGAAGGCATTAGGTAGGCATCACTTCTACCCCTCTGATGGGTAGGTGCATTAGAATAAATAAAATATTTTCTTTTGTTAGTCTTCTGCTAGATGACCTCAAAATATCATGATTTTTTTATTATCCTCTTGATACGTTATCCTCCTCTTCCCCAGCCCTCCTGTACTCTGTTGTCTCTGAAGAAAAGAACAAAAGATAAATTTTCTAACTGCGTAGTTTTCTCTACATAGCTTGTGCTGCTATAGGACAAGCCACAACTAAACATCAGCTGCTTAAACACTTCCTTATAGTATTAAAATAGTTATTGTGCAATAAACCCTAGTTGCTGTGCTCTTCTGCTTCACTGCTGTTAAGTGGTGACATTTGCCATGACCATAATATATTGGATTTTGCTATCTTCTGATTGTTTTATATTAAAAAAGCTGCTCTATTACTGTGAAATTATTTTTTATTCCTGTACCTATATTTTATCTACTAATTAGTTTATAACTTAATGGAAAAATATATGAAATAATTTAAATAAAGTAAATGAAATATCTCTAGGAATTCTCTCTGATATTTCTTTAGGTCTATATATCTATATCCTATATATCTTTGTAGAATAGCTACAGAAAGCTGGGGCAAAATGAATTTCAGCCATGTTTCCTGACCATCATTATAAAGAAATAGTACAGATGGTGATGTATTTTCATCCCTAAATGATTTTCTTGCCTGGTCTCTCCAGGAACATAGCTCTGGGCAGCCTTCTGATTAGAATGTGTTGTTGATCTGTAAGGCCTGCTGGGCATGATTGATTATGCACCATGCATTCCAATGGAAACATTTGCATATTTTCATAGCCAAAACTCTGCAGGAGCCTGACTCCAAGATCAAAAGCAGTATCTGCTTAACTACGATAACCTCACTGGAAGGATTTCCCAATCTGCTTGTAGAGCGAAGAACCTGATGATCAAGTTGTGCTTTTCTGTTTATCCAGAGGTGGTGTTTATTCAGAGATTGTCTTCTATTATTTTTCTGGTTAGATTTGTCCTCAGTTTTCTTGGGGGAGCTTCTTTCCTGTATCTTTCACAATTTTCACTGAGGGGATTGATGGGGCAACTTCAGGGGCATCAGCTATTTGTTGGCTGCTGAGGATTTTCAGCCTAATTGGGTGAAAACAAAAGGCCTAGAAACCAGGCTGTGCTTCAGAGTTACTGACTGTAGCTCTGTGAGCTTCTGAGCCCTTCAAGTTTCCCTGCTAGCCCAATAGCTTTTCATTGAGTGTGGTATTTTTTCAAATATTTTCACAATCCTGTAAGTTGAATGCTCCTGTTTCTTAAGTTTTATTTTTTATACATTCATGCTACTTAGAAAGTTTGATAGTACTTGTTTTTATATAACAAAAACTACTCCCAGAGTCATTCCCCTATTTCAGACCT